TTTAACAGTAACCAAAAAAAAAAACGTAATAAAATATTCCACACTCAAGACGTTTGAAATGTGTGAAAATTTCTCTTTCGTATGTATATATTCTCATTTAACTCAAATCGATTTGCGATTGTTGAACTGGAATAAATGAAATTGATTTGCACGGTTGCTCAGATCCTTCGGATTCCATCCTGAACCCTGAACCTCAGTTTATCCAGTCCGCCGCGCACTCGACAAGCATTGCACAGATAATCTCTATTGTGTCTTCTCTCATTGTCTGTGAACTAGCTGATTGATTAGCAGTCATTGAAGATGACATATGAACAAAAAAATCAACTGATAATTATGTCTACCCCACCCGACCCCGGTGTGAGCTGGCTGACACAGTGATAACACATTTGCTTTCCATCCGACCGGTCTGGGATTCGAGACCCAGACAGGAAGATGGGGGGGGGGGGNGTATATAATGCTGATAAGCTCTAAGTGGAGCAGAAATCCAGTCCAGTAATTTGTGGTAAACAACAATTTGTACAGTAAGAATACGGTTAAATTTGATCGAACATTACCGATGTGAAATAGTGAGCACGATGCCAACGGACCGCGGTGACCTCCTTTTGAAAACGTGGTTTCTTTGCTTACCCAAAACCTTGGTGTTCTAATCCTCGGGGGATGCGAATTCCCAGACTCTCTGTGTATTTCCGGACCTACTCGGTGTTGTGGTAACTGTTGCGTACTCCGTCTGTAAGTCATTTATGTAGAAAAGAAAAACTGTTCACTGGCGGTTTTGTAGGATTGACCTCGGTACGCTTTAATTGCTGTCTCACGCACAGTATTCGTTTGTCTTTGAAACAAGCGCCTTGTCACCCCCCGCCCCGCCCCGCAACCCCGAGTAACAAGCATTATAGGCTCAGGTGAATTGAGATCAAACACATGAGTACGAAACTACTGGCCTGTTCTAGATGTGTGTGATTCTCAACTTCGATACGAGAAATGTCTGAAACTGAAGGTTCTCTAACAGTAACTTATCTGTTTCGAATGAAATTTCCTTCGTTTTCGGACGTCTATTTCTGAACTTGACTTCAACTATTCTCCCAGTATCAGAGTAAAACAGTATTTTAGATAAGTCAACCCCTTTCCATGTCAGGCTAGCTTACTAATATTCTGTCTTTCAGTGGCAGTTTGTGATTATCTACCAAATGCGGTGTACATATTGTAGAAGACTAAAACTAGCACGTTTGATCTTCGTTCGATTGAATATCGTTCTGTCAAAGAATAAACAGTGTGTTAACATCTATATACATCACACAAAGTGGTAATTAAAGCGGAGCCTATTCACTGAAACAAAAGAATGAGCCATGAAATCGATGACGACCGGTCTCTGCGATACAGAAAGCGGTATTGTGACGTTCTTTGATGCGCGGGGAAATAAAAATACGGTGTTATACGAAAAGCTCCTTTATAAAACAAACTGTCTCTCAGGTACGTTTAAAGATAACAAAGTAACAGAGTGTCACGGCAGTTATCTCGAAGTGTTGATCCCAAGCAGATTATATCTTCCCGAATAAGAGAATCTTTGCCTGGAAGCAAGCACACAAATGGCTCCATCTTTAATGAGCTATATATAAAAATTCACATACAATTATTTCTGTGGCCTTTATGAATCAGACTTTCGTTGTAGTTTATATCATGGTGATGTCTAAACCTGTTCATTTTCAGGGTAAAACAAACCTTTTACGCAGTTTGGAACCACTTCTGTTTATTGTCTTATCTGATGTATTTTTTAGGCCTGCTACTGGATTTTTGGAACACAATTTCTCTATGATTGGTGTTCATCAGGTGGGCCTGGTTTCTGTTACACGTACCACCGAATTAGCTTTTCGAGAATGGATCAGTTAGCGCATCGTTTCGGTAGTTAGTGCAAGAAGATCAGTATTCAGTAGTACTCAAAGGCTTAGGAAAACCGAATCAAGATATTTGGTCAACTTGACAGCGGATAGAGTGCCTCCGGATCAGGCAAATCGAAGATTGGCGATACTGATCATAGTAATTAGGGATGAGTGTGTGCATCAACTTCATATCTGGTGAAATTCAGCACAGTCACATTTTGTTTCCACTCATCTCACCCAACTCAACTCAACCTCTCATCATGCTATTCATCGATTCCACCCAAACCACTCATTATTGTTCGCAAATAAGAGCAAAGAGGCAGGAAGCTAAAAGCGAGAACGACACACACATATAATTGTAATCCACGAGTAGCTATTCTCAACTGGAACTGGTTTATCTGCAGAGCATAGCATTCCTGGAACATGCTGATATGAATGGATCAGCACATCCGGATACGCAGTGGGATGATGATGACGATGATGATGATGACTATGATGATGATGATGAAGATGATGATGATGATTCGGATGACGATGATGATGATGATCCGGATGACGATGATGATGATGATGATGATGACGATGATGATGATGATGATGATGATGATGATGACGATGATGAGGATGAAGAGGATGATGAAGATGATGATAATGATGATGATGATGATGATGATGATGATGATGATGATGAT